CCGGCTCGATGTACACTTTCGCTGATGTTGGCTCAAATTACCCTGCCGCTGATGCCGGCTCAGAGTACGCTGTCGCTGATGTCAGCTCAAAGTGCACTCTAAGATGACCGGACAGCGTGAGCGGACGGCGCTGCGGAGAGGCCACCAAATTCCGGGTATCGAATGAGCCCTGGCCGATGCTCTGCGAATGTCACAAGGCCGCCCCTCCCAGATGTTGTTAGCTGGAAACTGGTCAACGTGACATTTACAGAAATGAAAACAAGATCTGGACGCGCAGCGACAAGCATCCCGCAATCCCGATTTTTTACATTTGTATGCGTTGTTAACGCAACTGCTCGGCCTTAGTTGACGTTGACAGGCTTGGTTTACTTTTGCTATTAACGACTGCGCATTTGCTGAGTCTGTCTTAATTAGGACTCGTCCGAGATCGCTTGTAACGCTTTCCATGAGCACAGCAAGCATGATGCAAGGAATGATATGAGTTGGGCAAGTTTGCGTCCTTTTACCACGGACGTGTTTGTGGCTGTTCCAGCGGCGGCGCATCCGGATTCCAGACCCGCTGCGCCAGCTCTCTAGTCTCAACTGGAGCTCGGGGAGTGGTAACATGAGTTGTCAAACGTACATCAACAGAGCAGGGTACACAAGTGTGCAGTGGTGATGCCACCACTGGGTTTACCAGACACCAGTTTAGATCACTCAGGCGTGTGAGAAGGGTGTCCGGCTATGGCGTGATGCTTGCGGAGGAATGCTTTGACGGTTTACCTTGAAGGGGCAGACATGAATCCTCCAGGTTGATTGATGCAGTCATTGCATTGGGGTTCCCTCAGTGAAGATTAGTAATAACTGAGAGCTTCTTGCATTCCCAGCGCGTTAAAGACGATATTCCACCACTATGAGAGCACTTCTCAGGTTAACCATTCACCAAGGCTACGAATTATCCAATACGTTCATTTTGCATTCATCCACATCCCCACTCGTCTCAGTGAGATTGCGTTGTTGTCGTCATGGCGATACGCTCTGCAGCGTCGTGCTCCCACAACTCTGTGTATGCGTGTGTGCGTGTATATATATATATATATATATATATATATATATATATATATATATATATATATGTGTGTGTGTGTGTGTGTGTGTGTGTGTGTGTGTGTGTGTGTATGTGTGTGTGTGTGTGTCTGCCAGAAGCTACACAATATTCCAACTCAGGACCTGTGAACGATGTCGGTGGATTTCGTGCCCCTCTTCTTCCTCCTCACCACCAGTGTTGCATACTATACATTAACATATTTTTGTAATGAAATGCATGAACCTGGGTGAGCCTGTTGCTCAAACACGATTCCAGGTGTCTTCTTTTACTTGCGTCACTTGTCTGTGAGCTGCAAAATTTGTCTACAAATCTTTATGTCTTGGGTGTCAAAGACCTTGCAGATTCTTAACTTTTCACTAGCACATGAAAACGCGGCCAACACTTGCAAGCAAGCAACTTCGTCGAGCTTCCAAGCATGGAGGGAAGGTGTCATCGCATGCACTTAGAAATAATGTTACATGCTAAATTCATGTGGGAGACGTCCTTCTTTCGCCGTGGAAAATAACAATGTCAAATTCTGGCTCACTTGTCTCGCAGGCATCAAAATTAGCAAAAATGTTAATGGGACATTTTTTCTGCTTCGTGATCAATTGCTATGTCTCATCTATGGTTCCTATTGCTCAAGCTTTAATATTTTACTTGTAACCTATCGAATCATAACCTAAAAAAAAGTCACTTCAGTATGTCAGCAACAAACAGATTCGTGCGTAAAGGGGATGTGCCACATTTGAAAACGTTGAGCCAATGAAAACGTTGAAATATGATGAAACAAGTTCACTTATAACTATTGGTATAACTTTCAGCGGAAAAGAGTGCTCTGGAAAATACAGTCTCCCTGCAAGTAAATTTGTTCCTCAGTGAGTCATTGTTTGATTATGTCAGCGTACATTGTTAAGTATTGGTCGAGAGCCAGTTGAGGATCGTTATGCCTGGCAATCTGCTCACGAACGCCAGATATGAACAACTCGATCAATCTTTTTTCATTGGCCTTGATCGCGCTTGGCTAGTGGAATGGCAGGACGTTATAATGAGATGGATGACGTTATATGATATAGTGAAGTTATTGTGGCGTCATGGATACTCAAGTGACCTTGAAATTGTCTCCCCGAAATAGTCCGCGCTTCTTCGGGGGTATGTAGCTCAGAGAATAGACGGCCTTAGGTCTAAAGAAGGGCATGTTTCAGAACTGCAACGAATGATCTTCAAGGTAGCCATTCCAGTTCAAAGCCACATGCAAATGTGAAACACTTCCTTTGAGGGAATTAAGCATACCATAAACGGAATATTCTGAATACATAAAAAGCTTTGGCGAGAGCTCCTGATATATCTGCATCTGTTTCTCGCTGGCAGTTTCTCTTTTGCATCGCTTTAATCATTCAAAAGTGTTGATCTTAGCGTGGACAGCAGGGGGGGGGGGGGGGGCAGCTCGGGTTAGTGGCACTTTCGCTATGCCTGTGTTTTAATACATTCTGTTAAGGTAGAAAACAAAGCGCAAAAATTCCGACGTTTCATTTGTGCGTAATCTTACGATTCAAAAAGCATGTTTGGAAGTGTTTATTTCATGATCCTTCAAGGCAGAGTGAAATCAGAAGTCTGGCAGGCACAGCCCTTCAGCGCTAAATGAAATGCACTTGCGTCACGGTGCTCTCCGCGAAGAATTGCGAAAATGGCGTAAGTAATTGTTTGATAGAATCCATGTGATGACATTCGAAGAAGATAGGGAATTCATGGGCTTGTGACTGATCCTCATATAGACCAGTGTTTAGACTACCGGCCTCGGGGCTAGCGTAGTATTTACGTTTACTGTGTCAAGCGATGTTCTTTTTTGAAGTCTGTGAGATAGCGCTTAGAGAGAAGGAGCGTGTACCCAGTGCGCGACAACCTCCCTAGGCCGGTGGATACTGCCCACCTGTCTAAGGAAGTTTATTGCTGGACAAGATCTCTTATTTACAACCATGCCTATGTAGAAGAGCACGTGGGGTTAAATTCCATTGGAAATCGGGTAGCACGGATTTCCAGACAGGCTTCCAACGGGCTCTGTCCACCGCTCCGCTCTGGGCTGGGACACGACGCCAAGGAGTCAGCGACGGGTACAGCCGTCTCCGCCGATTTCATGCATCCCAAGGCCGATACAGGTGGCGGCACAGTCGATATAGTGGGTATATAGGAAGCAGCAGAGTCGCAATGCGTACCGCACCAACTGTCGAAATGATTTCCCCGAACTTTGGCACAGGTTCTGCATGCTAATGTTGAGCTCGTGATCCGGGTGGACATTTCGCCCACCCATGGAGAATTTTAGCAGCAGTCTGCCGCTGCCACGCAGCTTCATTTTTGTTTCGTTCCTTGGGTTATCCACAGTCCAGAGGAGGTGTCGTCTAAACACCGTCTTCGCCACTTATCAGTGGCACCTACCTGAAACGCAATGACTCGAGCGCTCGTGCCAAATTTTTCTGACAAAAAATCCTGCTTTGGCCGGCCAGGAAGATCGATGTGAGGGGCTGTCTACCTAGGGCCTTCACTTCGCACCTTTGGAATTGTGGTCTGACTCGGTGCAACGGCGCGCACAGCTGATAATGGCGTGAACAAGTGACGTAGGCTAAATAATGCATACCCCATGCTCACATCGCTCTCTGGGATACCAAGTCGTGCTGACGGCTACACAGAAGCCGGTAACTATCGGTTCATAGGGACTGGACGCTGACGACGGCCTGAGCTGAGATTGACAGATTTTAAAGGAAGTTTTGGCGTTTTGGCAACGGAGAGAGTTGACAAACGCTTGCTTGTCGCGTATGCACACATTGTATTACCTGCTGACGGTTCGGCAGTACACCCGCACGAGGTACGCGTACAGACTAAGGGTAAAACTCGATGACCTTACGAATAAATATTGTGATTATATGCGCCAATACTTCACACGCCTTTACGCTGCGCTTCAGAAGACGAGAAACTCAATTTTGATGATAAGAACAAGCAGGTGCGCGTCACTGGCACTTGCAGTTGCGCCAAACTGCACGTCAAACCGCACATCTAGGCTACGTATCAGCTGTGGCAGTAGCAGGTCCGGTGCCCGCCACGCTCAGCGCGCGGGCCATTCGCCAGCGCTGGTCCCTTGCACACGAGAGCAACTACCAACAAATAAACGTCGCACCATCCGTGCTGCGCACCGCACGACAATAAAAACGCAGACACGCCAACACTGACACACACGCGCATGCACACTGACATGCCTCACTTGCACGCGCGGGGCCGTCCACACTGAAACGTCCCGGCTCGTCGCCCCGCAGCTATCACATTGGTTGAGCATTAATGACGTGTCCGATGGGGCGGGACGGCGTCAGCCCTTCGAACCGCGTCGTTCCGCCAGCCATCTTCTTAATGCTACGCACTCGCTCACACCTAGCTGCGCTCTCCCTGAAAAAAACTCAGCGACACGGCGAGCCGCCACCTGGCGGCGCCACCGTCGGGTCACGGCGCTTCCGGCTCTCCGAGATGTGACGCGAAGCCTGACGCCTGCTCCGCGGCCACGGAGGCAGCTGCCATCTTGGGTCACGTGTCAGGGGCGGGCCGCGTCGCCTTGCTATCCTCGCTAGTATGCGGATCACCACTCTCATTCGTATCCACGCTGGAACCCGGGCCCTTCGCTGGAGGCTGAATCCACACTCTGGTGTTCAGGAATACCGGGATTTGGACGCTTACTGGTATCCGGACCGCGCTATCGTCGAGCCACCGGCGTGGGTATGGCGAACGAGGACCGTCGGCTGAGTCCGAGGGCTCGGACCGGTCTCGGAGTCATCTCCCAGATTAGCCGAGGTCACCAGAGGTCAGCCGAGGTCGCGTGAGGTCAGCCGCGGTCACGGAAGGTCAGTTAAGGCCGTGTCGTCCACAGCGCCGCATCGGCGCCGTCGCGCCGGCTCTACAGACCGAACAGCCGGCCCAGACCCTGCAGGCCGAACGCCCCCAGGCCGCCGAACGGACCCCCACCGCCGCGGAACGGCGGCCGCGGCCGCGGGGGCGGCGGCGCCGGCCCCAGCTGCACGGGCGGCGCCGGCTGCGGCTGGAAGCCGCCCTGCTGCTGCTGCGGCGGCGGCGGCTGGAAGGCGGGCGGCGGCCGGGACGCGGGCGCCGCCGGACGCGGCGGACTCAGCGACGGCGCCGGCCGCGCCTGACCGCCGCCGCCGCCGCCGCCGCCGCCGCCGCCGCCGCCGCCGCCGCCCAGCTCAGAGAGACACTGCACGCGGCACGAAGTGTCGGCCAGCACCGCGTCCCGTCCCGATTGGGCCGCCAGCTGCTGGCAGCTGGTCACTCGCACACTCTGGCAGTTCGTTTGCTGGAACAGAGCGAATTATCAGACTGATTCACTGGGGTGCTGGCTGTGGCGGACAAAGACGGCACAAGCGGAAGACCGAGCTAAGAAGCGAAGGATTAGGGGAGGGCAGGCGAGTGGATGTTGGGGCGGAAGTAATCAAAGGGGAAGGTCTAGTGTCTCAAGACAAAGGATGAATTGGTACCTTAAGAGTATTACAGCTACCATGAAACCAATAGGGAAGGGAGATACGTGTGGAACAAAATCATCCAAACTTCAAACCTCAGCGAGGGACGTAGTGCGTAGCATCGATGCTCTCTCATTTTCTGAAGTTACAATACGCATGAAAACGAGGACCGTGACCCCGCAAAATGGCGCTGTGGACTGCTAGCAGCGTCCTTAACGACTACATACTCAGTCCTTCCGCCAAAGGAGGCATACTCCTGATATATCCACAGGCCATACCTGATCGCAAGTACACCAAGTGTTTCAAAGCCCTTCCATCTCCTTTTCTCTCCCTCCCTCTCCCTCCCTCCCTCCCCTCTCTCTGCCTCTTACTCACCCCGTTCGCGCAGGAGCACCGTGTGCACGGGCTGATGCTGATGGTGGTGCCTCTGCTGAAGGAGACACCGTTGATGTTGCACTGGCCGCCGCCGTTGTTGCCCTCCTTCCACAGTTCGAAGTTCATTTGCGGCATGGACCGGCATGGAATGCGAGGGTTTCTGCCGGGGATGACATAGTGGTCAGCAGAGAGCTTTGGGGTCCAACATCACCATTATTGTGCCAATGGAGGTGGCAAATTCAGTATTTAGGACTAACTTAAGACGTTGGTTTGCAGCCGTAAGGCTAATTTCTATTTCGCATCATAAGGTTGCAGCAGACTATTTCTCACCAAGGCTCTCAGTGACAGAGACGGAGACAGAAACAGGGACAGAGACAGAGACAGAGACAGAGACAGATACAGAGACAGGGACAGAGACAGAGACAGAGGCAAAAACAGAAACAGAAACAGAAACAGAAACAGGGACAAATACAGAAACAGAAACAGAGACAGGGACAGAGATAGAGACAGAGACAGAGACAGAGACAGAGCGAGAGCGCAATAGAGAGAGAGAGAGAGAGAGAGAGAGAGAGAGAGAGGGAGAGAGAGAAAGGGAGAGAGAGAGGAGGGAATGCGAGGGAGAGAGAAAGTGAGAGAGAGAGAGGGAGAGAGAGAGGGAGAGAGAGAGAGAGAGAAGAGAGAGAGAGAGAGAGAGAGAGAGAGAGAGAGAGAGAGAGAGAGAGAGAGAGAGAGAGAGAGAGAGAGAGAGAGAGAGAGAGAGAGAGAGAGAGAGAGAGAGAGAGAGAGAGAGAGAGAGAGAGAGAGAGAGAGAGAGAGAGAGAGAGAGAGAGAGAGAGAGAGAGAGAGAGAGAGAGAGAGAGAGAGAGAGAGAGGAGAGAGAGAGAGAGAGAGAGAGAGAGAGAAGAGAGAGAGAGAGAGAGAGAGAGAGAGAGAGAGAGAGAGAGAGAGAGAGAGAGAGAGAGAGAGAGAGAGAGAGAGAGAGAGAGAGAGAGAGAGAGAGAGAGAGAGAGAGAGAGAGAGAGAGAGAGAGAGAGAGAGAGAGAGAGAGAGAGAGAGAGAGAGAGAGAGAGAGAGAGAGAGAGAGAGAGAGAGAGAGAAAGGAGCGAGGAGAGAGGAGAGAGATAGAGAGAGAGAGAGAGAGAGAGATGAGAGAGAGAGAGAGGAGAGAGAGAGAGAGAGAGACGTGACAAATCAGGTACTCACAGGAAGTCGTGCGGCATGTCGAAGAGGGCGCGTTGCAGGGCGTCCACCTCGTCGCAGTTCTGGCACATAATGTGACTCATTGTCACCTTGCGTATCTCGGCTAGCTGCTGCTCGGTGAAGCGGATGGCCGGCTCTTCAGTCTCGTACCTGTCCGCCCAGATGCGTGTTGTCACACGTGACGCGTCACGTATCACCGCGCGAGGTATGACACCGGAAATGGCGTGCTGTGACGCAGTGGTTACACGTGAATTTAAGGCCACAAGCTGTTTGGGCTTATGGCTTTAAAGCCACACGCCAAAGTGCTTTATGGCTTTAGCGAAGCCATGCAGTGTGATGTGCCAGGGTTGGCAACGTTGCGCTTAAACTACAAACACGAAGATGTTAACTTGTAACAAGAGCGAGACAGCTTCAGGTGCGAAAATTTAAAACGATCCTAATGCAAACAATCGTCCAAAAGAACGCGGCAGCGCATGCTCGACAGATTCCACATTACTCAGAGAGCCGCTTAGATAAAAGGCCAAGATTTTCAGCAAACAATTGCCAACCACCTAACGTAGCATACCTAACCCAGCCTGGCTACCCTGATAGTCGCCGGATGTGCTAACGTCGAGACAGTCTGAGTCTGGCAGCGGGGCACACTCACCAGAAGCGGTCGCACTTCTTTAGGAAGCGGAACTGCAGTCCGATGATGCAGCCGAAGGTGGGGCCGACCAGGCCGCCCTGCAGCGGTGTCTCACTCAGGCCTCCCGTGAACAGGTCGATGTCGTCCACGCTGGCGTACACCTGTCAGGTCAGGCTAGGTCAAGGGCATGGTGGCTGGGGCTGTGACGTCACAGCGAGGTCAGTTTGGCCGTCACTCAGGGCCGGAGCTGTCGAGCTGTGAGGAACAGGTGGGGAGCAGCGAAGACTTGGATACGGCACGGGCTGGACGTGATTTTCCCTGACACGCGTAGAGTTCCGTTAACGTCATATCAGCGCTGGGCCTTACACTAGTAGTGTTATCTGACATGCGACAACCCTGTCCCGTCTCACCCAGTTCCGGTTCACGCCCCACTCGTTCCGTGCCTTGCCCCGTGTCTCGTGCCTCGCGGCCCGTGCCCCTTGTCTAGCTACTCGTGTCTTGGATCCCATATCGCGTGTCCCGTATCCCGCATCAGATGCTCCATGACGCATGTGCGTGTAGTGTCCCGACTCCTATGAACAGTAATTCGTGTCTAGTGCCCCACAACCCATGTCTAGCGCCCCTTGTCTCGTATCCCGTGTCCCGTGTCCAGTGTCCTGTGCCGTGTGCTCCGTTTCCCGTGTCCCGTGCCCCGTGCTCCGTGCCCCGTATCCCGTACCCCGTGTCCCGTATCTTGTATCCCGTATCCCATAACCGGTGAGCCATGTCTCGTGCGCCGTCCGTCCCGCACCTGCTTCATCTTGTTGATAAGCCGCTGTGGAATCTCGCGGGAGAGCTCGTCAAAGTTGGTGACCTTCTTCAGGTTGCAGATAGCCCGGTACTCGTTGTAGGGACGCAGGCCGTGGTCACGTGCTGCCACACACGGTGAATTAACATTGACCTCTGACCAATTCTAATATGGCGTCGATGCCCCCGACTGGAGATCTTTCGCGCCAGACTCACGGTTCTGCCTTATTAATCCGATCGACTGAGGCAACTTTGCTTTAGTGACACGGGTGACTTGGGGCATCACATATCATGCTTTTTAAACCACGATATTTCGAAAATGTGTCATTCGCCGGGATGTTGCCACTTAACAAATGTTGCAAAGTTTCCAGATGAGTTACCAACACGTCTGCACTGCCCATACTCGCTATGCAATAGGTGCTGACAGGCGTTCATATGCGGGATAAGTTACCGTTATTTCCCTTAGGAAGAGCGGGTGATTCTATCATCACATATCACACCAAATGCTCGTGATTGAAAAAATGACGAGAATCCGCCATTCGAAGACAAAGCGCAAACACCGCACCCAGCGGAAAGCGGCCTTTCCCCCCTCCAGACCCCCTACAGCGTCCCGAAGCGGGCCTGAGCCCCAGCGCGCGCCGCTCTTAGGCTCACCGCGCTGGATGTTCAGCGACACGAGGTCCAGCCCGGAGAAGGGGTGTCCACGCTCCTCGAACAGGTGCTTGGTGACCTCGGACGTGATGAAGTTGTCCAGGTTCTCCATCGGCGTGTTCACCAGGCCGCGCATGATCTCGTCCACCATCTGGACCTATAGCGGCGACGGCATGGTCAGGAAGAGCTCAGTCGCGGTCACACGAAGGGTTCACGTGTGGTCAGAAGGTGGGGGTCAGGTGAGCTCAGGCACGGTCAGACGGGGCTCAGGTGCGGTCACAGGCAGGGCTCAGGTGTGGTCAGAAGGTGGGGGTCAGGTGAGCTCAGGCACGGTCAGACGGGGCTCAGGTGCGGTCACAGGCAGGGTTCAGGTGTGGTCAGAAGGTGGGGGTCAGGTGAGGCTCAGGCACGGTCAGACGGGGCTCAGGTGCGGTCACAGGCAGGGTTCAGGTGTAGTCAGAAGGTGGGGGTCTGGTGAGCTCAGGCACGGTCAGACGGGGCTCAGGTGCGGTCACAGGCAGGGTTCAGGTGTAGTCAGTGGGTGGGGGTCAGGTGGGCTCAGATGTGGTCAGACATGGTCAGGAGTGGCTAGAGTGCGGTCAAGTAGGTGTCATACAAGGTCATGAGCGGTCGCGAATCCTTGTAGAGGTGAAACGCAAACGATACATATTCTTTCCGCAGCATGCTATATAGTTTCTTTGGCTTCGTCTACATTATTACACAGCGAAACAGGCGGGTATTTTTATCCTAGGTAGACCCCTTACAGAGGCAGTGCAAGCACGGCGAAGTAAAATAGTGTAGGGTTTGCCATTTGATCACTGTACGTGTCATATATGAGGGATACAGGGAACCATACCTGAACTTTACGGGGTTTAGTTGCACTTATGACAGTTTGTATGTTTGGCAAACAAAGGCGTCCTCTAAAGACAATATTATGAGTTTACGGGGCCCTGTAACTTGCAGCCTGTATCAGAGTTGTTTCGTCTGCAATCGTCGCCATGGGCTTACGGAGCGTGCAAATGCCGTAGTAGAGGCAGAATAAGCTACGCATTATTGTTCCGTATGCATGGGATGCTTCTAACGGCATCAGCCTGCTACGGATTAACTAGTTCTCTCGGCTGTCGCCTGCATCTGATGTGTTGGTTCGTACACTGCACACACTGGCACACCAGACGGGCACGATGGCCCCAACAATTATTCGATTCATAGAAGTAAAAGCTCGCCTCACTCCTTTCATAAAATTGCTGCACCGACCTCTTTCGAGCTTTTCTCCAACGCTATAAGTCATTAGAAAACACAACGTGAAGAAGCTTCTGAGACATGACATTGAACAGGCGGCAGCGTTCGGCGTTACTTAGAAACGTCAACTGATTTTTAAGACGAAGAACCTCTTCAAAAGCCCGTAAACTGCCCCACATATCTATCTTGGTCGCCGCATTCCCACGCCACATCAGACGGGCCCTCTGCCTCCCCATGGCGCCGCTCCTTTCGGCACACGTGCCTTTTCCTACCCTCCATCCCCCCCGCCACCAGTTGTCATATCTCACGTCGAAGAGCATGTCCGAGTTGAAAAAGCTGTTGCGGAGCTGGATGTGTGGGTTGCGCTCCCCGAAGTTGACGCCCATGCGGAAGAGCTTGGGTCGGATCAGCGAGTGGCCGAAGCGGAACGCCGCCGAGGAGAACTCGTTGAGCACGGCCGCACTGCAGGTGTCGTCATAGCCTGTAACCATGACAACGGCGGTCAGCGTGACGACAGGTGCGACATGCAGGACCTCGACAAGGAAACATCGCATTCGCTGCACCCCTCGTGGATGGTGAGCATAGCTAACCCAAACGAAACAGAACCCGAATGTAGAGAGTGAGAGATGTGAATTGGGTGTAAACACACGATGTTTCTTACATTTTTGCATATCTTGCATCTTTTTACAGGTAGCATCATTTTTTGCGCAATTAGTAGCTTTATACGGTGCAATACGCAGTTGCACAGCGTGGCGTTTTCCAATGCTTTCCTGTCACCCAACGCTATGGCCCGTCAACAACATCTCCGTCTGGTAGCAAAATACCCTGTTCCCCAATTCGAAGACATTGCAATCTTCGTTTTGCCCGACGTACAGAAACATGCATGCACAAACAGTGCTGGGCCGTGGACTGACCCTTGAAGAAGCCCTCGGTGCCGACCCGCAGGTCGTACAGCTGCATCGCGTTCCAGCCGAGGATGCGGGGCAGAAACTCGTTGTAGGTGACATGCTCCCACACGGCCGTCACGATCTTGCGTCCCACCTGTAGAGCAGTGGCGTTAAATGAAGCCAGTCCAATCCAAAAACTCTACTAGGCATCATTTGTCGTTAACCCAAATCGTTGGACTCAGTCGCTCACCTGAGCCCAGCTCCTCATTGACTTACGGCCCGAGCTTCGGCATGACATCATGGTATCATGGCATCGTCTTGCCTTGCTTCCTGGCATCATATCGATCACACTATCCATTTGAGATCGAGACCTGCCTGTTTAGCGGACATGCGAGACCGCCCACAGCGCACCGGCCGTTGCTTTTGCTTTGCTAGGTCAGCACTGACCACTTAATTGCAAACAAACGCAATTTCTTCGCCTCTCGGCCGGGTAAGGAAGGGGCTCGGGGCGTGGCGTCATACGTGAGGGGCGGGCTTACCCCCAAGAAAGAAATGGGTTCCGTTGGATTATGAACAAAAGGGCTCTGGCAAGGTTTCCGCCGATTCCAGTGCAGTAGACTCGATCGCCTACCTGGTAGAGCTTCTCGTCGTCCCAGTGCGGGTTGATGGTGGCCAGCTGGCGCACCACCCTGTTGTGCTCGCGGATCCAGATGATGTGCAGAGTGGCCAGACCCGCCTGCTCGGACGCCCGGTTGTCGCCTGTCGACCAATCAGCGACGCTCAGCGGACGTCATGGACATCCGGACCAATCACAGACAACGAGGCAAGCTCCTGTGACAAGCAAACCAAATACGGATCGGCTGCGGAACATGACTGGCGGCCCGATCCACGCAGCAGCAGCATGGACCAGACATCGGTCAAATCAACAGCGGCCTGTGACATTTCGCGCTGTGGGCTGAGGCTCTCCAGCACCAGCACAGCCGACCGGCGGCGACTCACCGGCGGCGAAGCAGGAGCCGGAGGGGGCGCGGCACTCCTTGTTGTCGCGCGTGGTGGGCAGCAGGCCCTTGCCGCGTGTGGGGTGAGGCGTGGTGATGAGTCGGCCGCCCTGGAACGAGCGCAGGCTGCGCGCCTCGCACTGGTCCTGGCCGTACATGTGGGAGCCGTCCATGTAGGCCGTGTTCTGGTTGATCTGCTCGCGCGGCCCTGTGGCGCCGGGACGCGGTCAGAGGACTCGGACTCGGACGGAGGTGCGTCTGACGGGGTAACTCTCCGCGACTCCTCCCGTTCCTGCCAGGTCACGTGACTCCTCCCGTCTCCTGCGAGACCACGCGACTCCTCCCGTTCCTGCCAGGTCACGTGACTCCTCCCGTCCCTGCGAGACCACGTGACTCCTCCCGTCCCTGCGAGACCACGTGACTCGTCCCGTCCCTGCCAGGTCACGTAACTCCTCCCTTCCTGCCAGGTCACGTGACTCCTCCCGTCCCTGGGAGCCGCGCCCTGCCTTAGCTATACCCTCCGCCCAGTGGCCCGCCAACCCCCTTCCTTGCAGATGTGCCCTCAGTATGACGCCGATTGATATACTGATGCCATTTTAGACTGGTGGGTTGCATTCGACTGGACCCCAACTGTCATCCGAGATGGTTTCTTCGAGCCGGTTCCCACCCGCGCCCTCCCTCCCCTCGTCCTCCTCACCGAGGGTCTGCTGTCCGGGCAGTGACCGGGTGAAGGCGATGCAGAAGGGACGGCCACTGCTGACGTTGACCGGCGGGAAGTACGGGTCGTTCTGCGGCACGTTGATGGGCCAGCACTCCGGGTGCACCCGGTTGGCAGAGTCGCAGTCGCGGCAGTTCAGGATCGAGTCGCCAAACCCTGCAGGACAGCGACGTGAGGCGGGCGCTGTTGCGAAACTTTGTGCGAGAACTCGCGACTTGGTTTACTTGGGTATCTTTTGAGCTAATATTTCGTTGAGCAGTTATGCCTATATATGCGCAAGTGCTCCGGTGAGCAGTGATCCATGTATACGCTGCCACCATTGTCATTAGCTTCCAGTTGAGTGTAAAAGTCTTAGGCTCTTACAAAGGCATGCAAAAATATGTATGACAAATTACGAACCACATTTGCCCGCTGACTGCTCCTACTGCAAACGACAAATTTTTTCCACTACGTATGCAGCACCTGCAGATTTACTGACACAATGCGCAGCTGTCTGTCCTCAACGAAAGGGTGGTAATTAGACCTGGACACGTGCGGAGCCCGTCGCTGGTGACGAGAAATGTACCTTTGTTGATGGGCGTCATGCTGATGTCGTGGTCGAGGAACTGGCCGAACTGCATCAGGAACATGGTGTAGCGCGAGTGCGGATTGCTGACGTCGTCATGCAACGTGGTGGAGATAAGGCGAGGCGAGGGCAGAGGCGTGCCGGTCACTGACCTCTGCCGAGGCCGACTGATGCCTGCGGGCGCAAGGTCAAGAGGTGATGCGAGCTCCGCCACATAGTACTATTCGTGGATCTTTCCAGTGTTTAACACTATTAACTCACCCACTGGCAAGTGGGTCGAGTACAACAGCTTGACACGGTGCGTACTCACTGCTAACAAGCAATGTCCACTGTAGTTTCTTCTTCATAATTGTGAAAGGACAGAACAATCCGTAGAGCTCTAAACACAACGCAGTTAAACACTCTCAACACGTGAACTCCCGTATGACTGTCGCCTCCGGCGGCCTCTGGCTCATGACGGCCACCGACAGACGTGACCCCTGCGTGCCTCTCGCGACCGAGCCAGTTCCTCACCGTCGTCGTACTGGGCCGGCAGCAGGCGGTGCTGCGGCGTCACCGACTTGCCGAAGTTGGGGTTGGCGAGATTGTTGCAGTAGCCCGAGTACGTGCGGTACGGGGACGAAGGGTCGCAGGGTACCGTCTCCTCATCGGCACTGAAAACGGCGGCGCGGTCACAGACGATTACAGATAGCTTCTTTTGGTCTATTTATATATTTTTCCTTTCCATGGTTCTATTCTATGAAGTGCTAACTAAAATCACATTTTCTTTCAATCATTGTGACATTTGTTCTATCTACCCAGTCCTCTTTGACCTTTTCTTTACTCCGCATCTTTCTTATTTGTTCCTTTCTTATTTCTTTATGGGTTTCCTTCCCGCTTCTTCTGCCGTCTCATTCCGCACTTTTTCTTTCTTTTTTTTTTTCTCTCTCTCTCTCTCTCTCTCTCTCTCCCTCTCTCTCTCTCTCTCGTCTCTCA